GTTATTACCGACAGCAATAAATGTCTAAGACAGTCAATGAACAGGCATACAGACAGAGAGATTAGCAGTGCTGTAGAGTCGGCTCATGCTCAGAAACACTCAGTCAGAGCAGAAAAACACACACCTTCATCCACACGCACAGGTGAGCTGGGCGGAGTGCAGGTGCTGCTGGGAACTTTCCCTTCTTCAACCTCCAGCGGTTGACCTGCAGAAAAGGAAAAAGATTTACAGTCCACACACTTAACACTCTCAAACACATACAACACTGCAGGAATTCAGCTTTCAAAACTCGCTAAACCAATGCACTCTTTACACTCTGACTGATACACACTGAGAAAACAAAATGGAAACACGTTATCACAGCAAATAATAATAATTATGTTTAAGTTAGAGTACTACAATCCTAAAAGTTCAATAAAATAAAACCAACACTTTGAAAATGAGCTAAGAAAACACCAAAATAAATTAAAATTAAATATAAAAATATATTATCATTAATAATAGTATTAACAAACACTACAGTATATTAAATAAACCTGGCTGACTTGAATTTGAAAAATTAAAAAATCCTATTATGTTCATTTAGTTTTATTCTTCTATTTTTCTGTGTCTTTGTAATAAAAAATTAAGAAAACAAAGCAGCAACCTTCTGCTCTCCTTCGTGAAGCCAATACAGAAGTAACCAAAATTGCAATTCATCGACTGGCCACTGGGGGCTGGCTCCAGAAACTCGAGATGTACACTGACTGCAATGCTAAATTGACCAATTTAACAGCTGATAAAACATGTTTACAGCCTGGTACAAAAATAGTTTTGGTGTATATAGCTAATATTACCCTTCAAGACAACTGTGAGGAGGGTGATTTTTTTTTTTACAACTCATTTGTTTCGTTTATACGAATTAATACTAAGTCTGTATAAATAAGGGCGTGTCCACTTGAGTGACAGCTAGGTCTCGCTGGTCGCAGTCATGTCATTCCGGCTGATTAGCTGCTAAACTCGTCCTGGAGAACTTTGAGATTTTGTCCAACCATGTTAAAGCAGCTTTTTTGGATTTGTAAAATCAAATGTCACTAGAAAATATAAATAAATATGCAAATATATCATAAATGTAATGTTGATAAATATATAAATGACTATAGTATTTTTCATGGGGTAGCATTACATTGGCTCTATACCAGGGGTGTCCAAACTCGGTCCTGGAGGGCCGCTCTTCTGCAGTTTAGCTCCAACTTCCTTCAACACACCTGCCAGGTTTCAGGTATATCTAGTAAGAGATTGAATAGCTTAATTAGGTGTGATTGATTAGGGTTGGAGCTAAACTCTCCTGGACACCGGCCCTCCAGCCAGTTGCCTTTTGGAATTATTTCCTACAATTATCAGATGATATGGCATGCTGTGTGCACTTAAATGCGCTTACAAACCATACACATGGCCTCCATTTCCCAGGTGAGTGCAATTGTATACTTATATACCATCTCTATAAATGTATTCGTTTTATTTAAGATCATCTATCATTTATAATGTTCTTTAGACCTGTAAAGCGCTCCAGAATCTGACAGATTGATTAGCTGTAGGCTCTAGAACAGTCATCTGAAGCATTGTCATACAGTGTTGTGCCTAGATTTCATCAAATATAGTCTGTGTTAGTAAATGCAAGGCTATTGAATTTTCCTCCAGTAGAAAACCATCATAAAAACAATGCTTAATGTTTCAATGTATTACAGCAGTGTTTTTAAAAGTCTAAACACTTTATTTATATAGTGTACAACCAATCACGTGGTTTAGAACACTAACAAGATGCAGGTAATGAAGAATTAAGCGTTTCTCCCGAAGTAAAATGCTAGCAGGCATTAGTAGCTCCACTCAAGCTCCGCCTCTTTACCTTTTTTGGTAACCCCCAGTCAATGCGATGACATGCAAACAAAATGGCGACGGTTGGCCACGCCCATCTAGCTTAATTTGTGCTCTTCAGAAAACTATGAGTGACGTCACGGATACTCCCTCCATATCTTTTACAGTCTATGGTTTCATATTAAATATTAATTATCCTTAAGTTAGTCTTTCAAAACTAACATAAAACACTGAAAATGAGCCTAAAAATAAAATAAATAAATAAATAAAATTACAAGAAAGAATTAAGATTAAAATATATATTTTACAAACTACCTAACTGGAAAAAATATCTCAAATTATTTCATCTAAAACAAGGGAGTCCAAACTCAGTTCTGGAGGGCCGGTGTCCTGCAGATTTTAGCTCCAACTTGCCTCAACACACTTGTAAGAATGTTTCTAGAAAGCCCAGTAAGAGCTTGATCAGCTAGCCTAGGTGTGTTTGATTGAGATTGGAACTAAACTTTGCAGTACACTGGCCCTTCAGAACCGAGTTTGGGCACCCCTGATCTAAAAATATAACTAAAATCTGTTAACAAACATTAAAATTACAGTAAATGACAGTAGCCTGACTTGAATTTGATTAATTCCTATTTTAAAAGTACTGTGATATTAATTCTGTTTTACAGATATGTTTTGTCTTGGCTTTATCGTACTGTTTGCCCTTTGAAAAAAACGAAATTAGATTTTATATCAAATAAAAATCATTAGAATTACCAACAACAATACATTCATAAAACAAGCACAACCACAGGGAATAAACGCTGAAGATGTGAGAAAGCAGATTTTCACCACCTGCACACCAGAGTTTAGTCAAATCTGAGTTGATTTTCAGAAACGTCCATTAGAGACACCAGAATCAGCTTTATTAGTGCAAGAAAAGCCCCCAAAACATCCCCAGATCGTCTCCAGAAGACGAAGAGATTAAGTCCAGGATTGGGATTAAGAGGACGAAGGTTTCAGTCTGTATGTACAGGGGGAATGTGGGACAGGTGAACGCAGGTTGGGACGGGTATAAAGAGAAGTGCTGGATCACCAGAAGAAAGAAAGAGCCCAGTAAAGTCACACACAGGACACAGATGATGCTTTTCCACTGTTTTACGACTCTGTTTGGCTCAAGTTTGATTTTTCCACCGCAAGTTTATATCACTTCAGGGTGAGCGGGAAATGTAGTATTGCAGATTATAGTGCTCGATTAATGGAGAAAATCATAATGACGATTATTATGGTCAATACTGTAAATATGGATTAAATAAAATGATTATGAGCCATATGCCATAATATGACCAAAACTAGATAGATAGATAGATAGATAGATAGATAGATAGATAGATAGATAGATAGATAGATAGATAGATAGATAGATAGATAGATAGATAGATAGATAGATAGATAGATAGATAGATAGATAGATAGATAGATAGATAGATAGAACAACAAAAAGACTGACGGATAGACAGAACGACAGACAGATAGAACGACAGATAGATAGAATGACAGACAGATAGAACAACAAAAGACAGAACGACAGACAGATAGAAGGACAGACAGACAAAAAGACAGATAGAAAGATAGACAGAACGACAGATAGAACGATAGATAGACAGAACTTTATTAAACCGTTATATTCATTAAAAAAGTTTGATCAGCTAACATTTAACAATAGAAAGATTATACATTAAAGTTTTTATTTAGGTGTTGCGAAAGAATTACAATTTAAACTGAACAAACGTAAAATAATTTTTAAAATATAAAATATTATAAATATTATTAAAAGTAAATTAAAATAAAAAAACATTTAATTTTTTTTTTTAAAAAGTCAAAACTAAATGTTTTTCCTTTTAGAAAAAAATGTGGCAAAATAATAAAAAAAAACAGTGTAAAAGCAGAGTAATCTGGTTTTCAGGTAAATTTTGCTGACCCCGTTTTATATTATTAGTATTTTCCTATTCTTTTTTTTGTTTTAAAACAAGACACTTTTTACTTGTCTAGAAAAAATCTTCTCAATTTAAGACAATTTCAATATGAAACGAGACAAAACCTAAGATGTTTTTTGTCAGTTTCTGTGATGCAACATTTTTTCTTTAACGAAAGTAAATAAATATTTTTTATAGCAGTAAATATAAAGTAATAAATAAATAAATGATTGTGGTGATGCAGTGGACATGTCACACAACCAGTGTTGTGATGTAATACAAATCACACAGAGCCCAGTGGAAAATTCCTCAAAGTTGAGCCGCACTGAACCGTACCACACAGAGGAAAAGCAGCAAAAGTGTGTCCTCCGCAGGCGATACCTGCAGCTTCAGTCTCACAGCCCAGAGCTTTGAGCACCGCTGAGTGAAACTCCTTCTGAGGGGATTCTGGGTTATCAGCTGGGCTGTCCTGCCCTGATGCGCGGCTGGGGATAATGGAGGGCGGGGGGGCTGCGATGACCTGCGGATCCGGATTTTCATGTGTGCTGCTGAGCAGACCCTGGACGTCTTCAGGGGATGAGGCAGAATCTTCAACCTGTGCTAAATGCAATACAAAAGTTTCTCTTCTGACCTGCGGAGGGCGCTGACGGGCTCACAAGAATCATGTGCGATAAATTAAAAACAAATATCCAAAAAAATAATAATAATGATAATAATAATACAGTTTGTACCAAACTCCTGCAATATAAATAGAATATGAGACGACATATAACTCAAGAATTCCTTCACAAAATCAAGCCAAACCATTCAGATCAATGAGTAAAGATTGTACTAGAGAGCTATGAACTCCATATCAATGTTTATGGAAGTGTTCTTTGGTTCATTTTTAAACTCTGTATTCATGGCATTAAAACAGAACATTTCCTATTGTACAAAACTTTGTACACTAATATTTTTTTTGTCCTGTTACAAGCTCTTTTACTAGCTCATATAAGAAAACGTAGATTTTTTCTGTTTATTAAATGTAAGGCGTATAATAGCTCATTGGAAAAATAAGTTTAATTACTTTTAATTTTTATTCTCTATTAAAGACTACTTTTGTTAAATTCCTATATCATCTGTGTCTTTGTCCTGTTCTTTTGTTGAACACGTCATAATTTTCCTGTGATAATATTAATAACAACAATAAAAACAAAAATAATATAATAATAATAAATAATATTTCTTAAGGGGCTGTTAACATAGAATTGAAGCAGATATAACAAAACATGAATATGAGTTCTGTGTAATAACAATGAAATGACAGAGGGAGAAAGAACTGAGCTACTGAAATGCATTTAATACTTTATATCAGGGTTTTTCAAAGTCTAAGACAGTGGGCCTCCCTTTTGACACAACTTATCTATTGGCGCCCCCCTCCTTCCAAACACGCACGCACGCGCACGCGCACACACACACACACAAACATATATATATATATATATATATATATATATATATATATATATATATATATATATATATATACACACAGTTGAAGACAAAATTATTAGCCCCCTATAAAATATTTCATTATTTTTCAAATAACTCCCAAGTGCTTTTTAATGGATTAAAGATTTTTTCAACACATAATTTTTAAACATAACAGTTTAATCAGGAAGCTTTGAGTGTTTGTAATACAAACAGAAACACAATTATAATCAAAAATAAAAAAAGCTTGGAGGTCAAAATTATTAGCCCTCTGATGTTAATAGTCAATAGTGTAACCCTTTTGCTTGATAACAGCCATCAGTCGTTTATTGTAGCTCTCAACAAGTTTCAAGCATGTCTCCTGAGGAGTGTTAGCCCATTCTTCCTTAGCAAATCTCTCCAGCTCTTCCAGATTTGTTGGTCTTCTGGCATGAACTCTAGACTTCAGTGTCCCCCACAGATTTTCTATTGGATTCAAGTCTGGGCTTTGTGCAGGCCAGTCAAGGACTTTCACTTTGTTCTGTTGAAGGTAGTTCTTTACCAGAAGTGAGGTATGCTTTGGGTCATTATCATGCTGGAATACAAAACGTCGACCCAAACCAAGTTTTGTTGCAGACTGTTTGAGGTTATTTTTCAAAATCTTCGGGTAGTCTTCCTTTTTCATGTTTCCTTCAACCCTGATCAGATTCCCAGTTTCACATGCACTGAAACATCCCCATAGCTTTATACTCCCACCGCCATGTTTCACTGTGGGAACGCTGTTCTTTAGATTAAATGCATCTCCCTTCTTCCTCCAAACATAGGCAACATCTCTATGGCCAAAGAGCTCTAGTTTTGTCTCATCTGACCAAAGGATACGTTTCCAGTATTCATTATTTTTCTCTAGATTGCCCCTGGCAAACTTCAGTCTAGCTTGGAGGTGTCTCTTTTTTAAAAGAGGAGTCTTTCTTGGTCGACAACCTTTCAGTTCACTCCTGTGCAGGGCTCTAGTGACCGTCTTTGCTGAGACATTAATTCCAGACTTGGCTAAGTCATTCACTAGTGTCTTGGCAGTTGTTCTTGGGTCTTTAGAAACCTCTCTTACTAATTTTCTTTCCAAAGTTTTGGAAATCTTTCGCTTTCCACCTCTGCCAGTCATGTTCTCCACAGTGTGGATCTCATTAAACTTCTTAATAATATTTCTCACGGCACTTCTTGACACTTGAAAACGCTTTGATAAACATGTATATCCTTCTCGTTCTTTGTGAGCCTCAACAATTCTTTTTCTCAAATCTAAACTTATTTCTTTTGTCTTTGTCATGATGACAGAATGCATTATCGTACTATTTGTTTTTCAAGACACCAGTTTTAAGCTTTAAGTGCAATTTAAAGGCTTAATTAGGTTAATTACCTTAACTAGGCAAGTTAGTGTAATTAGGCAAGTCATTGGACAACAGTAGTTTTTTCCTGGAGCCAATCAAACAAATAATTACTTAAGAGGGCTAATAATATTGACCTTAGCAGTTTTTACTTAAAAAAATATATAAATAATTATTTCACCCAAAATAAAAGAAAAAAAACCTTTTCCAGAAGAAAAATACAAAAGGAAATGCCGTGAAAACAATTTTCTTGCTCTGTTCAACAGCACTTGTGAAATATTTGTAAAAGAATACAAATTTCATAGGAGGGCTAATAATTTTGACTTCAACTGTATATATATATATATATATACAGTATATATAAAGACAGACAGATGTCAGACTCTTAACTCACTTTTATCATCATTTGCATGAAAGTGCAATTATTTACAGAGTAATAACAAGTATTTTAATATGACGTTTTTAAAACTAGGATGATGGTTCAATATGAATAGAACAGATCCAAGAACTGTCCATCCCAGTCAAAACAGTCGAAGTTTAGCGGGTCTCATGCTGTCTTTAGCCAAAATATCTTGACAAACCACACATAAAGGTCGTGGTTCCTCAGCTGGTCCTGTCCACGTAAATCCTAAACTCAAATACTGATCATCATATCGTCGTCTTTTGGGTTTAAGCCCTGAACTTGAAGGCTTTGAATCGGGGGGTCTCAGAAACCGATTCATTGTATTAGCAGGCATATACCAGTATTGGCGGGCTTGCCAAACAGAAGCAAATTCACAGCTATGGCCTTCTGGGTAAAAAAGGTTTTCTAATTTTTGACGTATTATTTTTTTAGCTTTGTTTAATTTAAAAGTTTAAATATAATAAAAAATACATATAATAATTAAACTTAATAATTATATTTTTATTATATAACATTTTTTCCCGCGCCTCCCCTGACATGCTCTGGCGCCCCCCAGGGGAGGCGCGCCTCACACTTTGAAAACCCCTGCTGTATATTAAAAGCCTTTTTAATGATGGCATCTTAAAGACGCCTGTCATAAGGAGAATGAAGTCACATGGATTGCTCAGGTGCGAGTTTCTCACAGACTTCAACATAGTATACAAATCTTGATGCTTCAGTGGACCTCGTCTGTCAAATCTGAGCTTTAGTTTGTGTTTTCAATTGGATTCAAGTCAGGTGATTGGTTGGGCCATTCCACAGCTTGATTTTCTTTCTCTGAAAGGATTTAAAAGTTTCCTTGGCTGTGTTTTGGATCATTGTCTTGCTGAAATGTCCACCCTGGTTTCATCTTCATCCTCCTGCTAATGTAGATGTTGGACTGAAGCAGCTGATATTCATTTACATTGAGGAAGGGCAGAGGCTTGCTGAAAAACTACTAAGAGATTTCAGCTGCTGTCTGGGGTTTCATGCCTTTCTACACCTCCATTTCTTCATGTGTTCAATACTTTTTCCCTGTGTCATTTCATTTTAGGCATCCAAATCAGTTTCTGCATGGAAAAACAGAAAGATGCTGCTCTGAGATCAGTTCTTACCTTCGTCTTCTCCTCCTTTCTGCTTGAGCTCCACCTCTTTGCGGTACTCCTCCAGCTCCTGGTCCGTCAGCTTGTTAAAGGGGTTTGGTCCAGTTTTACTGACGATCACACGCGGTTGATACTCTTTCTCAATGATGGCTTTGGATGCGGTCACAAGCTCCCCCTGTTGGACAAAACAACACCACATTTAAAAGGACGGTTCACCCACATAAAGGTATCATCATTTACTCGCCCTTTACTTATTTCAAACCTTTATGAATTTCTTTCTTCTGTTAAACACTAAAATATACAAAAAAATGTTGAAAACCGGTAACCATTGATCTCCATATTGGTTTTCTTACTATGGGAGTCAATGGTTACCGGTTTTCAGCTTTCTTCAAATATATTCTTTTGTGTTTAAGAGGTGAAAGAAACACAAAGGTTTGGATCCACTTGAAAGAGTAAATAGTGAGTAATTTCTCCACTTTGGGTGAACTATCCCTTTAAGTGCTTATTTTAATGCACTTCATCTGTACGCATCTATAGATGTCTATTACAATCATATCTTGAAAACCGGTAACCATTGATCTCCATATTGGTTTTCTTACTATGGGAGTCACTGGTTACCAGTTTTCAGCTTTCTTCAAATATATTCTTTTGTGTTTAGGAGGAGAAAGAAACACAAAGGTTTGGATCCACTTGAAAGAGTAAATAGTGAGTAATTTCTCCACTTTGGGTGAACTATCCCTTTAAGTGCTTATCTTTATCTGTACGCATCTAAAGATGTCTATTACAATCATATCTTGAAGACATTTTTCTCCACTTCTGTACAATATACACACACATTTAAGCATATTGTTTTATTCATATTTACATTCCGAAACATTTTACTGAGAGATTCACACATTTATAATGGACCAGATTTCATGCAACATATTATTTCCCACAGTGAACATCTACCGTCTATCTGGCTGTTGATCGTATTTTTCTGATTTCTAAAATGACAAAGAGAAATTGGTTCAAATCTAGCTCAAATACGTCCATGGTCTACAACAAAACAAAACGAGTATTTAAAGACAATTCATTCAGATATATAATCTGTAAAAAAAATGGCAATTAGTGCATGCACAAGGCTCAGCATAAATGAGAAGACCCCATTTTCAAAATGAATATTTATATCCATTTCTCAGTGCATATAGATCATAACTTGGTGCATTTTGGTGCTTTCTTCAAACTACTTTCTTTGTGTTAAAGAAAAGAAACAATCATTTGAGGGAGAGTAAATGGTAAGTAAATTTGTAAACTATACACTTAAAAAGCATCTCTTTAAAGCGCTGACTTTCTACAAGCCTAAAACAAAACATGAAGGTTAGTAAAATGGTTCCCATTTTATACAAAATGTCAAATACCCTGACTTATCGCTGATTTTCACTGACTAAGACCTGAATGTCCATGACCTATCTACCTTATTTTTCCACTCAAGAGTGAGAGGGACAATTTTAAAATAAATGGAATTGCAAAATGAAATACTAAAATAGATTAAAAATTTAAATAGTAAATTAAAACTATTTTTAAACATATTAATCAAATGACAATTTATAAGCATAATCTTTGAACTTGAGTAAAAAGAGAGAGAGAGAGAGAGAAAGAGAGAGAGAGAGAGAGAGAGAGAGAGAGAGAAAATATAGTTAAAAAAAAGTGGAAAATGACATGTTTGTTAGTCTTGCTGCAGTTTGGGAGAAATAAATAGTGTTTTAATGCATGTAAAAAAATTAATAACTTTACAATTAATGTTAGTTTTTATATATGTTTGTATATGACCTCTATCATATTATCTAATTATAGAAAATCTAAATCTTTAAAAATCAGTATAGAGAGGTCACAAACAAAATCTGAATCAGCCAATAAGTTTGGAATCTGTGCATCTCTATTCTTCTCGATAAGTTTATATTCTTATCTCTATGAGTGCTAATAAACAGTTAATATCTTAAGAATAGGTGGGTAATAACCAGTATTAAATGTATTTAATTATTTAAGCAAGAAAGTTTAACCAGTATTTCTTTGGTGTGCAAGAGAAATAAAGAAACTCAAGCAGGTTTGGAAGAGGAGGACAATTGTCCCTTATGCGTGAACTGTCCCTTTAAATAACGCAAATAAAAGTAGCACACATTACAGTTAAACAGCTCCACCATTACCATCATCCCATAACCGTTTAATAACATTGATGCTGTTTTATTAATGCATTTATCTTGTATTCACCTTTTATTATGTCAACAAGTCAAAACTCAAAATACCATCATAAACATTAAGATGCAAGCAGAAAGTGAAAGTACACATACACAACTGTTGTGCAGTTAATAAAACAATGTTCACACAAATTGTAAAACAGCTCATTTACAAGGTTTTACACATTGAATAAAATAGATTTTCAGTTTCCTCACTGCTCTTTTCTTTAACGACAAATGAATCCATTTGATAGATGCTTACTAGTACGTTTGTTAAAATGCATGTCTATTAGGGATGGGAAGATTAACCGATATGTATCGATACGCGGTCATGCCTAGAGTGCATCGGTAGAGCAGCAGAGAATGAAAGAAATTTTGGAAGCAAATCGAGATGCATCGTTTTTTGCGAGATGCATCGATTTTTCCAAGATACAACGTATATTTTTAATATAGAATGTATTTTTTATTTATTAACAAGTGTTGTCAATCTGTTTTTGGCGCATAATTTAATCGACCTACATAAAGTATGCATTAGCAACGGACTTGCGGATGTGTACACTTACACTACAACTCAGTGTATCAGGTGTGCGGATGAAGCTAGTGGAGCGCCCTCAGAAAGCGCGAGAAGCAAAACGAACATTTTATTCCCCACTGAGTTTTAAATCTAAAGTATGGCAACATTATGGATTCTGCAAAAAGGATGGACGACATGACAGGACAGATGCAATTTGCAAAATGTGCCGCGCATCTGTAAAATACGCGGGCAGTACGACTAATCTGAAATCTCACTTGAAGCAGCGCCACGGTGTTGTTGTGAAAGCATCTTCCAGTGTTTCTGCATCCCCGGCTTTCGCACTGCTTCAACTGTAGCTACCAGCTCCAAAAGTGGTGAGAAAAGCATTGCAAGTTTTCTCCATGCGCAACAGTTCTGCTCGCTCTACGCCAATAACGAATGCTATTGCATTGTTCATCTGCAAAGATATTCAGCCTAGTGTCACGGAGAACGAAGGTTTTAAACACCTCCTCCTGTTAATTTTTATTTATTTATATGTTTATTAGCCTGTTGTTTACAGTGACAGTGACGTTTCAAAGCAGCATAACACTGCTAGTTCACCACCTTAAGTTTTGAATATTCAGTGGCAAAATATATCTTTGTAAAACTTGTTTTCATAGTTGAAAAGTTAAATCACAATTCTTGTTGTGCAATGGTAAACCTTTATGTTGAAAGAGTGCAAATGTATATATTTTAATATATATTGCACTTATACATTCTGTTTATCTTGAAAATACTTAAATAATATGTGATATAGGTTCTAAAATGGCCCTCTACTGTAAACTGACACTCTGGCTCTGAGAGAAAAGCCAGTTTGTAAAAAAAGTCTTGGTTTTACTTGGTTAATAAATAATCAAACTCATTCAATGGCACAGCATCCTTTCCTACATCATCTCATAAACTTGATCTAATAAGTTAGTGCTGAATTATCGCATTGTATCGTGATATGGGTGTGAATCGTATCGTGTTGCATCGCAATGTCACAAATGTATCGCTAATATATCGGATCGTAGTCTTTGTATCGAGATGCGTATCGGATCGGCATTATAGCTTAGATGCCCAACCCTAATGTCTATAAATTGTAAAATGACCAAGGTGCTATACAATACATCTAATCTAAACAAAAATGGCAATATACATATTTATATCTGCTGCATTTATATAACCTATTAATGATTGTATAAATAAATGTTAGTGGTTTGCATTAATGTAATAAGTCATGCCTATTAGTAACAACTACCAGTTCCAATGAGCGCTTTTTCAGGATTTTGCAAATATAATGGTTTTTGAGATTAAATAAACAGATTTATTATTTTTTTTGACAGCAAAACATGAATTTAAGCAAATAATGGCTAATAAAAAGTTGAGGAGAGCAGTCACAATTACCATACACACTACCTGACAATAGTCTCGTTGCTTGTCCAAGTTTTAGGAATAACAAATAATAAGTTGACTTCTAGTTGATCATTTGGTATCAGAAGTGTCTTATATGAAAGTTAAAGGCCTCTAGATTTTGCTTATTTGAGCACAATAAAATCTGATCATGTCTTGATGTTGACTGATTTGATGAGGACAGTAAGCTCTGACTCTGCTCAGACTAAAGTGTCATCACTGAACAGAAATAATGTCCAGTATAGAATATAAAGTCCTGCTGCAGTGGAGACAGAATGAATATTGTGTCTGACTCCATCATGAGCTTGGAGGACTGCATCCATACATCTCTGACATGACTCAAATCACTGATTAATAAAGTCATCTGGAAAGAAGAAGAAAGCGTTCTTGCAGGATCCCAGAGCTCATCAAGAGTCTTTGTGTTCATCTTTAACGCCTCCTGCATCTTACCCCAGACATGCTCAATGTTCATGTCTGGTGACTGGGCTGGCCAATCCTGGAGAACCTTGACGGTCTTTGCTTTCAGGAGCTTTGATGTGGAGGCTGAAGTATGAGGAGCGCTATCCTGCTGGAGAATTGTCTCTCTCCTGTGGTTTGTAATGTAATGGGCAGCACAAATGTCATGATACCTCAGGCTGTTGATGTTGATCATCCACTCTGCAGATCTCTCGCACGCCCCCATACTGAATGTAACCCTAAACCATAAGTTTTCCTTCACCAAACTTGACTGATTTCTATGAGAATCTTGGTCCATGCTGGTTCCAGTAGGTCTTCTGCAGTATTGGTTATGATTGGGATGCAGATCAACAGATGATTCAGCAGAGAAATCCACCTACTGCCACTTTAAATGATCAACTAGAAGTCAAGTTATTATTTGTTGCTCTTACAACTGGGATCCACCACAAAACTTTAGTCAGGAATTATATATTTATATATATATATATATATATATATATATATATATATATATATATATATATATATATATATATATATATATATATATATATATATATATATATATATATATATATATATATATATATATATATATATATATATATATATACATATATACATATATACATATATACATATATATATATATATATACATATATATATATATATACATATATATATATATACATATATATATATATATACATATATATATATATATACATATACATATATATATATATATATATACATATATATATATACACAGTTGAAGTCAGAATTATTAGCCCCCTTCGATTTTTTTTCTTCTTTTTTAAATATTTTCCAAATGGTGTTCAACAGAGCAAGGTCATTTTTACAGTATGTCTGATAATATTTTTTCTTCTGGAGAAAGTCTGATTTGTTTTATTTCAGCTAGGATAAAAGCAGCTTTTAATTTTTATGAACCATTTTAGGTACAAAATTATAAGCCTCTTTAAGCTATATTTTTTCTTGATAGTCTACAAAACAAACCACTGTTATACAATAACCTGCCCAATTCCCCTAACCTGCCTAGTTAACTTAATTAACCTAGTTAAGCCTTTAAATGTCACTTTAAGCTGTATAGAAGTGTCTTAAAAATATCATTTAAAATATTATTTACAGTCATCACGGCAAAGATAAAATAAATCAGTTGTTAGAAATGAGTTATTAAAATTATTATGTTTAGAAATGTGTTGAAAAAATCTTACCTCCCTTAAACAGAAATTGGGGAAAAAATAAACAAGCGGTCTAATAATTTAACGGGGCTAATAATTCTGACTTCAACTGTATATATATATATATATACACACACACACACACAATAACAGCAAACTTTTAGACTAACCACTGAAGATTCATGTTTTTTTTGGGGTTTTTTTAGCAAAAGACCTGGATGTCATTTTTTAATTCTGCATATGATACTAGAGTACTGAAACTGTGTGTGGTTTGATGTTTTTCAGACGTTTCAGTATTATGTACCTTTCGAATAGACCTAGAAGGACTAAACCCTCCTGAAGGGTCAATGCCATCAATAGAGTCCGTACAGTCAGAGAGAGGAGCGTCCTGAAACAGTAGAGCTGGTGAGCAGTGCACAAGTCCAGCACAAATACACACACATGCTCACACACACTCACACACGCTCACACACGCTCACACAAAATTAGGGCAAATAAATTAGCCTTCAACGGATTATATTTTACGCACACACACACAGATGCTCCAGACATGCAAGAAGCATTTCCTAAAGAAGCGTATGGTCAGGCTGGAGCGAGACGGTGATCATGGCTCAGAGTCATGCACTGCAACACCAGAAACCAAACATATGTGTGTGTTCATCAAACCACACACACACAGACTCATAGTGCTGATGCTCCAGGTCAACTACAGGAGCAAACGGAGAAATAATCGCACATGTAAAATGTACAATATTAAATTCCAGAACGTTCAGGTTTGGATTTGTGTTGCTGGGATTGGGTGGATTGGATGAATGATCTGATGGTTAGTGGCAAAAGCACACACACACACTCTTTTCAAGCATTTTTAGTGCCTCATTTAAGCTTTCCAGAAGTACAAATGCCTCCTCTAAAATGAAATGGATTTGTTGTATAATTAAAGCATCCTTTAAAACAGATCTAGCAAAAGCTCAGATGTTATTTAGCAATGCTACGTCATCTTGCAAAAACCAGCAGTTCTGAATTCAATGCAAAAATGGTGAATTTTAAAGTGCAGGTCTAAATAAAGAAAGTCTAAAATGAAAGAGAAAAAATAACCACGTATTCTGCAGATATAGCAATAGACTTCTGGGTTTTTAATGCACGAGATGCCTGACTTAATGCATTTATGTGAAATAAAATAGAATAAAATCTTCATTTCATATAAATGCATTTAGTCATGCATCTCATGCATTAAAAAATGATTACTTTCTAAGTATTATTACTTGAAGTGTAATTATTACTATTATTAGTAGGCTTTAACTTGAGGTGTGTATTAATGACTACTTTTTAAGTGTCAATGTAGACTAATTTAATTTAATATTGTAATAGTATGCTTATTAGTTAATATATAAGAATTGTATAATTCTATTATTAATTTGTGCACCTATATTTATATTTTATACTTACGCATGTGTATTTTAAGTTTGTTAGATATGAATGAAAATGTATGTATCTGTCTGACTATCTATCTATTTATCTTTTAGTATTCTATCAATCTATTCGTATCGTATCTACCATATCCATCACTGCATCATATCTTATATCCTACCGTATCATAACAATGATATCGCATTGTATCGTATCTATCGAATCTATTGTGTCGCACTGCATCTATCATATGGTATTGTTTTGCATCTGTCATATCGTATTGTATCGTATCTATCGCCTCATATTGTATCACCTCTATATTATCATATCCTAGCATATTTAATATATTACATCTACTGTATCATATTGTATCGTATCTATCGTACCATAGATATGATATGGTAGATATGCTAGGATATGATACAATACATAAAATATGATAGATACGATACAATTTAACAAAATGCCATACAATAGATATGCTAAGACATCGCATTGTATCATACCAGTTGTGTCGTATTGTATCGCATCTATCATATCGTATTCATCTTATCATATCCTAGCATATCTACCATATCATATTTATGCTATTACATTGTATCGTACCTAACGTAATGCATCTATTGTGTCGTATTTTACCGCATCAATCATATCTTATCATTTGCTAGCATATCTACCATATCATATCAATGGTCTTGCATTGTATTGTATCTATCGTATCATATCCATCGTGTTGTATTGTATCATATCTATCGCTTCATACTGTATCGATACAATATGACATGATAGATACTATACAATACGATATGGTAGATGTGCTTGGATATCGCATTGTATCATATCTATCGTGACATATTGTACCGTGTTGTATCGTGTCGCATTGTATCGCATCTATTGTGTCCTTTTTTATCGCATTGTATCGTATCGTATCATATCTATCGTGTCATATTTTATTGCATTGTATCGTATCTATCGCATCTCATTGTATCGCATTGTATCGTACCTATAGTGTCGTATTGTATTACATTGTATCGTATCTATCGCGTCGTATTGTAGCGTATCTATCGCGTCGTATTGTATCGCATTGTATCGTATCTATCGTGTCGTATTGTATCGCATTGTATCGTATCTATCGTGTTGTAGTTTATCGCATTGTATCGTATCTGTTGTGTCGAATTGTATAGCATTTATCGTGTCATATTGTAAAGCATTGTATCGCATCTATTGTGTCGTATTGTATCGCATTGTATCATATCTATCGTGTCGTATTGTATCGCATTGTATCGTATCTATCGTGTTGTATTGTATCGCATTGTATCGTATCTATCGTGTCGTAGTTTATTGCATTGTATCATATGAATCGTGTCGTATTGTATCGCATTGTATTGTATCTATCGTGTCGCAGTTCATCGCATTGTATCGTATCTATCGTGTTGAATTGTATCACATTGTATAGCATTAATCGTGTCATATTGTAAAGCATTGTATCGCATCTATTGTGTTGTATTGTATCGCATTGTATCATATCTATTGTGTTGTATTGCATTGCATTTTATTGTATTTATCGTGTCATATTGTAAAGCATTGTATCGCATCTATTGTGTCGTATTGTATCGCATTGTATCATATCTATCGTGTCGTATTGTATCGCATTGTATCGTATCTATCGTGTTGTATTGTATCGCATTGTATCGTATCTATCGTGTCGTAGTTTATTGCATTGTATCATATGAATCGTGTCGTATTGTATCGCATTGTATTGTATCTATCGTGTCGTAGTTCATCGCATTGTATCGTATCTATCGTGTTGAATTGTATCACATTGTATAGCATTAATCGTGTCATATTGTAAAGCATTGTATCGCATCTATTGTGTTGTATTGTATCGCATTGTATCATATCTATTGTGTTGTATTGCATTGCATTTTATTGTATTTATCGTGTCATATTGTATCACATTGTATCGCATCTATCACGTCTTGTTGCATCTACCGTATCATATCCTAGAATATCTATCACAATGTATCAAACTTGTATCGATTGTATTGATAGTATCCATCTATCTTTTTTCTTTGAATGTTTAAAAATATACAGGTAAAAATTGTCCAGGAGAATGATTCTAAATTCGTGTTGTTGTAAAATACAAAAAATACACAACATAAGCTAAACTATCAAAAGAAAATTTCTAAATTAAATTAAGCAATTAAAGCACAGCTATTGTTAATATTATTGCACATGTTAGAGTACTTTCTTTTACAACAGCATCATCCATAGTTTCTGTTACAGTCAATGAACCAAAACAAACCAAACAAAAAAGGGGCAAACATGGCACTGCAAACCAATCAAAACAAAAGAAAATAAACATAGCTTTAGCACGCTTATTGCTGCTGTGGTTTACTTACGTGCCATATAGTCACTCTCTGGGGTCAAAAGACACAATTGCACAGTTAAACGCTGAAATAATGTCAAGAAGAGAGTTTGTGGGATTTAATTAGTGACTCACCTGGACAAATGAACGGTCAACAACAGCACCTGTGAGCACCTGAGACTGCGGACCTGCCGTCTTTTTATCCTGCAGATTCTGCTCACGGATCTGAGAAAAGGCAGATTCACTGTTAGCAAGAGAATATGACAACAGCAATATAGTAAGTTAGTTTAAAAGCCTTATTAATCTCCTTGGGGCAATTCATTCTGCAGGGTTCAAACACATTTCTATGTGTGACTACTAAAATTCCAAGATTTTCCATGATGTTCCAAAACTTTCAAGCAAATATTCATTACCTAATGTTTCATTTAATGTCTAAATACATGTAATAACTACAGTAATTCAAATTTATAAAAAAACATCAAAGAATATGTGACAATACACACTTCCTGGCCACTGTATTAGGTACACCTTACTAGTACAGGGTTGGACCCCTTTTGCCTTCAGAACTGCCTTAATCCTTCATGGCGTAGATTCAACAAGGTACTTGAAATATTCCTCAGAGATTTTGCTCTATATTGACATGATAGCATCACACAGTTGCTGCAGATTTGTCAGCTACACAGCCATGGTGCCAATCTCCCGGTCCACCACATCCCAAAGATGCTCCATAGGATTGCCATGCTTTGGAGGCCATTTGAGTACAGTGAACTGATTGTCATGTTTAAGAAAGCAGTCTGAGATGATTCACGCTTTATGACAGGGATGGACATGATCAGCAGCAATACTCAGGTAGGCTGTGGCGTTGATGCTCAATTGGTACTAATGAGCCCAAAGTGTGGCAAGAAAATCTCCCCCACACCATTACACCACCACCACCAGCCTGAACCGTTGATACAAGGAAGGATGGATCCATGCTTTCATGTTGTTGATGATAAACTCTGACCCGAGCATCTGAATGTGTCAGCAGAAATGGAGACTCATCAGAGCAGCAACGTTTCTCCAATCTTCTATTGTTCAGTTTTGGTGAGTCTGTGTGAATTGTAGCCTCAGTTTCCTGTTCTTAGCTGACAGGAGCGGCACCCGGTGTGCTCTTCTGCTGCTGTAGCCCATCCGCCTCAAGGTTTGACGTCTTGTGCGACCGTGTCCACATGTCTAAATGCACTGAGTTGCTGCCATGTGATTGGCTGATTACAAATTTGCATTAATAAGCAGTTGGAAAGGTGTACCTAATAAAGCGGCCGGTGAGTGTATGTAGTACTATATATCAACTATATTTGTTTTGAAATAATGTCCGGTGTAATGTAATGCATTGATTAACTCAAAGCAAATAAGGAACATTTAGTTTCTTTTTAAAGAAGTAATGTGAGATTGCAATGCATTATTTAAGCGTAACTTTCCCCAGAACTGTTTAAAAAAGTATTTTATTTAATTGACAGGAAAAATAAAGAGTTCAGACCTTGTTGCGCATCTCTTGGACTTCTTTCGGGTTGGTGTTCAGTGGGACAAACTGATTGGCCACAGCAGCCTGTCGCAGACTTTCCTCCTTAGTCCACTGAAATTATCAAAGCAAAGGCATTCAAATAAACCGAAACATAAAACAAAAAATAGAAACTTAAATACAAACTTAATCTTTTTTTAAAGAAAGAAAGGAGGAAGTCATGCCTCTCAAACATTACAAAATAAATCGGAAAATAAATAATTGTCATTTCTAATGGTCCACTAAGCAATGAACCAATGATGATGCTCAACTTGCTTTGAGGAAATTGTTTAGCTTTGCGCATCATAACAATGCAGAGGAATTAATAACTTGAAACTAAATTCTAAATAAAAATTCATTGCACAAAAACTATGAATTAGCCAAAAATGCATTTCAACAAATTTTAACATTTAAAATTATATAAATACAAATAAAATCAAATCAAAACTAAACTTTCTATAAAAATATAATATTTAAAATAAAATAAAAATACATTAATAAAAGATCAAATAAACAATAAATATAATATAAAAAAACTTTTAAAATCATTAAAATATTATTTAAAATTAAATGAAGAAAAAAATGAAGAAAATATATATAAAAATAATACAAAACACAAATCAAAGCCAAATTTCTTTTAAAAATTAAACATAATATTTACAATAAATAAAATGTTATATATATATATATATATATATATATATATATATATATATATATATATATATATATATATATATATATATATATATATATATATATATATATATATAATATAAAATCAAATCACCAAACTTCTTATACATTTTTTTTCAAATATAGTATTTAAAACTAAATAAAAAAATATGATAAAGTAAAACAAATATAATAAAAAATCTAATTAAAAACAAACTTCTAATGAAAATTATTTAAAAATAATATTTAAATTAATAAATAAAAATAAATAAATAAAACAAAAACTGATCATAATACAATACAAAATTAAATTAAATAAAAACCAAACTTCCTAAAGATATTTAATATGTAATATTTACAATTAAATAAATATATAAAACAAAAACAATTACAAAATTAAAATAAATAAAATAAAAAATATATAATACAAAATAAAATCAAAACCAAACTTCTTTTAAAATAATTTAAAAAATATATTAAAAATTAAATAAAAAAATAGTGATAAAATAAAAATAAATATAATATCAAACGAAACTTCTAATAAACTTTTTTATATATAATATTTAAAATTAAATAAAAAAAATCAAAAACATAAAATAAAAAATATATAATACAAAATAAAATCAAAACCAAACTTCTTCTAAAATAATTAAAATATAATATTTACAATTAAATAAATAAAAAATTATAATAAAATAAAAAATAAATAATATTATTCAAAACCAAACTTCTTATTAAAAATAATTAAAATATAATAGTTACAATTAAATAAACAAATAAAATAGAAAATAAACAAATCATAACAATACGTAATAAATAAATTAAACAACTTACAACCTGCATTTGTTGAGTCACAACAATAAATTAAGACTATGAAATCAAAACTATAAATGCCTCTCCTGAACGTAATTAAGCATCAGCACACTCATCATCATTGATACTGCCGCTGGACGTAGAGTAAGGACAGAAAAAGCTAAAGAAAAGAAAGAAAAGAGCACAGACAGAGAAAAACAGAGGATTAAAGAGGATGACAGACCACGAGGAGGCAGGTGTGAGGTGGAGTGGAGAGGCAGAAGCTGCTTCTGTGTTTAGCAGTGAGTGAACAGCCAGAAAACACCTTCAGCTAGTCACACACACACACACACACACACACACACACACACACACACACACACACACACACACACACACTCTCACTCACTCACTCACTCACTCACTCACTCACTCACTCACTCACTCACTCACTCACTCACTCACTCACTCACTCACTCACTCACTCACTCACTCACTCACTCACTCACTCACTCACTCACTCACTCACTCACTCACTCACTCACTCACTCACTCACTCACTCACTCACATAGACACAAACAATCTCTCTCGAACACACACAAACAGATTTACTCTCTCACACACACTATCTCTCTTTCTTATGCACACAAAAACAAACACACATGGTCTCACACAAACAATACACTTACAGTGGCTACGGAGAACATTGAGACCCCCTTAAATGTTTTTACTCTGTTATATTGCAGCCATTTGCTCAACTCATTTAAGCTCATTTATTTCCTTAATGTACACACAGCACCCCATATTGACAAAAAAAACTGAGAAATGTTGCAGATTTATTAAAGAAGAAAAACTGAAATATCACATGGTGCTTCATTTGAGTCCAGCTGTGTTTGATTATAGGAAAGCCACACACCTGTCTATATAAGACCTTACAGCTCACAATGCATGTCTGAGCAAATGAGAATCAGGAGGAACTGCCTGAATTGTGGCAAGGCAGAGATCTGGCCAAGCTAACAGAAACCCTTCTGCTGCACTGAAGATTCCGAAGAGCACTTAAATGGATGACGTTTGGGACGACCAGAACTAGTGGTGGGCAAAGCGAGGCTTCATGAAACACTAAAACAGTCGAATCAAAGGATTCAAAGCGTTTTGAAACCCGTCTCTACAGTGACACCTAGTGGTCATTTATGTATTGCTCTGGAACAGCTTCAGCAAAGAAACAGTTACGCAAATTGAGGAATTATACACAACGCTGTAGAGCTGAAGTTACAAGTGATTTAGTGGAGCAGTGAAAGTTCCAGACTAGCATGTAGAGATAATGGGTTCGAATGCAGGACATAACATACAACTAAACAGAGATTTATTTTTAAATGCTCTGTTCTTATAATGCACTTCATTTTAACATTGGTCTGACATCCGAATGAACACTTTGTGAATAAATAAGTCTTGTTTGTGGTCATTAAATTTAACATTATTAAAACGCATAAATCATTATTGCAAAGTTTGTGCACAAATCGGGATTCAAACTCTGGACTTTTGAAGCACAATTACTCTGTGCACACACTCAGTCCCCACTAGGCTACATGAGAAAGAGTTTTTTTTCAGCACAGTGGAGATTTCTTTATGTTGTTTTAGTCATTTGGGATGCAGTGACTCACAGTCAAATATTTCGCCAAACAGATCCGCCACTTTTGACGCTCATAAACAATTGTAAAGTCCTTGTGCTGCAGGACTTAGGAGGTTTGCTGAAGGTGCAGCGAGGGGTTTGCATCTTTAATAATCTACGACAGTTTGCCCTCATTGAACAGTAAGATTGATTAATAAATCCATATCAAACAGTCCCTTAGTCACGTCTTCAGTTTCAGGCTCAGGCACTCGCACTCACACTACAAGCTTACCATGCCTGAGCTTAAGTGAACCACGCTCTGGCACACCTCCTCCAACCAGGCCAGGACCGGCCAACTGAACCATACCAGAGCCCGATTTAGAGCACTCACACTTCTCAAACGATCCGGGAAATGGGCCTGGGCTCGGTTCGGATAGCATAGTGCGAGTACGCCTTTAGTCACGTGGCCTGGGCATTTCGAATCACCTTAGTCACATGACCTAGGTGTTTCAAATCCCCTTAGTCATGTGACCCGGGTGTTTCGAATCACTTTAGTCACATGACCTGTGTGTTTCGGATCATGCTTTGGTGCAGTGTTTCAAAACATTTGCCCTTCAGTATCTCGAAACGGTGTCAAAAATGTTAGTTTCACGTCAGCCATCCCTAACCAGAACCCTTCCTATAACTAGCTGTCCGGCTAAACGGAGCAATCGGGGGAGAAGAGTCTTGGTGAGAGAGGTGAAGAAGAACCCAAAGATCACTGTGGCTGAGCTCCAGAGATGCATTTGGGAGAAAGTTGTAGAAAGTCAACCATCACGCAGCCCTCCACCAGTCAGGGCTTTGTGACAGAGTGGCCAGACGGAAGCCTCTCCTCAGTGGAGTTTGCTAAAAAAATTAAAAATAAAAAAAACACCCGAAGGACTCCAAGATGGTGAGAAATAAGATTCTCTCGTTTCATGAGAGCAAGAACCTTTTGGCCTTATTTCTAAGTGGTATGTGTGGAAAAAAGAAGGCACTGATCACCTGTCCAATACAGTCCCAACAGTGAAGCATGGTGGTGGCAGCATCATGCTGTGGTGATGTTTTTCAGCTGCAGTTACAGAATGACTGGTTTTAATTGAAGAAAGATGAGAACAGCCAAGTACAGGGATATCCTGGACAAAACCTTCTCCAGAGTGCTCAGGACATCAGACTGGGCCAAAGGTTTACCTTTCAACAATACAATGACCCTAAGCACACAGCTAAAGTACCCAATGGAGCATCTCTGCAGAGACCGAAAAATGGCTGTCCACCAATGTTTACCAGCAGGGCTTGGCATTAACTTTTTTTTGATCACCAGCTACTGTGGCTAGTAGTTTTCCAACGTTACTAGCCACACTTTTATTGTTGAGAAAATATATTTATGTGCGTACATTTGACTTGGGCATGCTAAAATCACTTGATTTAGATGTTGTGTTATTTCCATATGCCTCCTCCTCCATTTAATTTTGTGTTGTGTGACCTTGCTCAATGAGCACGAGCAAATGGGCTGTGGCTTTTTAGTTTCACGTTGGAATTAGTTTTTATTTTACATGAATTTACAGGGCTCTATATTAAGGATTTACAGATATTGTCTTTGGCCACACCAAACTAATTATTTCCTTGCCACAAAATTTAAATCATGTGTCCAAACAAGCAAATATAGCTGTATATATATATATACACACTTTTTATTAAACAAAACTTTCTTATAAAAAAAAAAAAATGATAAGACATTTTTAAAAAATGATTGTCATGTATCGAAAAGGCGCAATAGTTTGTCCAGGCTAAAGGCTCCATATCACCAGTTAACTATACATAAACGGGGAATTAATCTCATTTCCAGGCACGGTTGCTTCACGCAAGGATACGGGAGTTTTTTACCACTCTCACGAGCATCTCATCAGCTGTGCGTGCAACAATGAAGCCCTCGTCAGTGAGTGAGGGGAGCCTGTTTCACCAATTTACCTGATCATCTTCTCAATCGGAATTAACCTGCTTTCTTTCCTCGCATGAACAGTTTTTAGTCGCGCTGATCGCATTTGCACGCACATTGACAACTGCACTGGCAATTTAAACAAAATTTCTACCGGCCAAAGTGGCTAGTGGGAGTGTCTGTCTAACCCGCCACAACTGAAAGCATTTGGCAGGTTGGCTGGTGTAAATGTCAAGCCCTGTTTACCATTCAACCTGACAGAACTGGAAAGAATCTGCAAAGAGGAATGGCAGAGGATCCCCAAATCCAGGTGTGAAAAACTTAATGTATTAGATCAAAATACTGCGCAAATGGTCTAAATACTTGGGACCATGTGATTTTTCTGGTTTTCTTTTTTAATAAATCTGCAAAAACGTCAACAATTCTGTGTTTCTCTGTCAATGTGGACTGCTGTGTGTACATTAATGAGGGAAAAAGTAACTTAAATGATTTTGGAAAATGGCTGCAATATAACAAAGAGTAGAAAATTTAAGGGGGTCTGTATGCTTTTTGTACACACTCTCTTTCTCACACATGCACAAAACACAATCTTTCTCACACACTCTGTGATGGACTAAATTACACCCAACTTTTGCTAAACCCTACAAGATCAACTTCAACTTGTGAAGTTTCAACGTTAATCGTTCAGAGATCAACAATAAAAGCTCTGATTTATGGAATTAATGGATTTTTAGGTTTCAAATAAGGATGAAGAGCGACTACTTAATACTTCTGAAGCAGAAAATAGTTAGCGTTTGGCCTGTATAGCATGAGTAGCCAATGAGTTACTTGTTTTAATCGGAATGAGATCAATGCTTTGAGCGGTAGTCATGAGGAAAGGGGTTTCCGTATGGGAGAAACGCACATGGGATGAACACGTAAAAATGAAATACTCACTGATCACGCTTAGAGCCTCAAAACACAACACGCTCTCCCCCAACTAGAGACAATCGTTCGGAGAGTTAACAACCACTCATGAACCAATGCTTTTTGTGTGTTTGTTTGGTTTTTTTGGGGTGATTTTGAAAGTTAAGTCAACTCATGCTTGGGAAGAGTTTGGGAGGAAAGTAAACCCAGTGTAGAAAAGGGAGAGAAAGTAAACTTAAAAGTAGAAAAGAGAAATTAAAAAGCCAACACAAATGTTTTGAAGCGGTTTAAGGAAACGTGGAGTCACCAAACGGCAAGCCACGACTCCAGGGATACAAGCAGACGAGACTATTCTGCCATAAATAAAACTTGACTTAATCTGATTTTATAATTAAATTGGAAGTAACTTCGTTTGCGGTCCCTAAATCCAGCTGAAAGTGAAAAAACTGACAAATAAATCATATCCGACCTTAAAATTTTTGTATTTACATATTTGTAATTTTTTGTAATAGATCTAAAATATTCAGAGAATCTGAAACTAAATCAATCATTAACAATCAAACAAATTTAAACCCACTTAGAGAAAATAAAAATACTCTAATTGATGACACTATTCTGTTTTCAACCAACCAGAAAGGATTTAGATTTTGCAAACTTGATATTTATCTAATGCTGACTCATCTTAATTGTAATATTAAATTGGAAGCACCTTCATTTGCCACTCCTTCATCCAGCTGAAAGAGCAAAAACTGAAATATTAGACAAACTTGATCTTAAAAATTAGATATATACATATTTGTAATGCACCTAGAATATTCAGAGAATGAGAAACTAAATCAATCATTAATAATTCAACAAATTAAAACCCACATGAAGAAAAAAAAAGGACACTAACTCATGAAACCACTTAGTTTTCAACCAACGACAAGGATTTAGATTTTTGTAAACTTGCTATTCGCGTAATGGTAATGCTGACTTAATTTGATTATATTATTAAATTAAAAGCAACTTAATTTGCAGCAACTACATCCGGCTGAAAGTGAAAAAACTGAAGAACAATCATATCTGACCTTAAAAATGAGATACTTACATATTCGTAATTTTTTTGTAATACATCTAGAATATTCTGAGAATCTGAAACTAAATATATCATTAATAATCAAACAAATTAAAACTCAAGTAGAGAAAACATACACAAAATTTAAAAAAACTAAGTGTCCTAATACATGTTTAATGTTCCCTATGCAAAGAATATTAATATTATTTCTGTTCTGTGTAATATTATGTTCCCTATAATTAATTTTTTATGAAATAACAATTTTAGTAAGATTCAGTCTACAGCTTTCAAACTCTTCTCACTTCAGAGAAACTTTTACCCTAAGATCACTTTCTCCTTAAACGAAGATTTAAAAAGCTCACACTATAATACGATAAGTCCTCTAAAGTGTTTCCGTTGTCTTAACGGCAGCATCTAAGTGCATAATAAGCACATTAGCCACACAAACAGCTGTCTTCAAAGCTTCTCTGAGGCTAAACGCTATGAACAAATCGTTCACAAGAAGTATCGACTTCATTACGGTGCAAAATAAAGCAATAAACAAAACAAACAACGGAAACGGGAGGTAAAACCAGTAGCAGCAGAAAGGATTAGCCACACCCACTTTGCACACATGCCACACACCCCTGGTCCCCCACAATGCATCCGTTCAGTCATGCAACACAGCATGCAGTGAGCAGCCGGAGAGAACCCTGACATCCCGCAGACCAATCGAAAGAGGAGAAGAAAAGAGCTCTTCACTGTGAAAACACACAGACTTCATCAGAGGAAGCAATGGAGAAAGATCCTTTCTCAGATCAGACGGTTATGGGAAACAGGTTAGTAAAGAAGTTAAGCAAGTGCAATCAAACTCTGGCTTGGAACAATTAATTAAACCAAGTGTGAACCTTTTTTTTTCTTTTTTTGTGAGAAAAATAAGTATTGAACACATTGTCATGTTTTTCCTGGCAATAATACCTCTAAAGGAGCTGTTGACATGGAGTTGAACCAGTTTGAGAAAGTACTGAACTACCTAAAATGTATTTAATACTTTACATAAACGGCATTATTGGTGATGGCAGCTTAAAGACGCCTCTCATATGGAGAATGAAGTCTCATGCATTGCTCAGGTGTGAGTTTCTCACAGACTTCAACAGAGTGTGAAAATCTTGATGCTTCTGTGCGTCTCGTCTACCAAATCTGAGCTTTATTCTGTATTCTTTATTGGATTCGGATCAGGTGATTGGCTGGACAATTCTACAGCTTGATTTTCTTTCTCTGAAAGCATCTGAGAGTATCCTTGGCTGTGTTTTGGATCATTTTCTTGCTGAAATGTCCACCCTGGTTTATCTTCATCCTCTTGCTAACAGGGTATATGTCGAGCTAGTGCTGTTCTCATGCTGATACACTTCCGGTGACCTGTTATTGTGAACTTTTTTCCATTTTATACGATTCCTTATACAGCATCGATGTTGTAATGTCATTAAAATACATTCAGTTAAATAAACTATAGCATTCATTGTGTTGCTCAAGCGTAAAACGAGACAAAAAGCTGTTTACTCGCACGCGCCCGTCAGAATCGGCATGCTAACGCAGAAGCTCCATTGAATAGTGGGGTAAAATAAATCCTCATATTATAAAAATATGGCGGGAGAAATGTAATTTAATGCAGTGCTTCTTGTACAATCTGAGACCCACTTCAAATCGGATATCACTCAGCCAGTGGAGATCGCTGATTTTTAAAGAAAACAGACCTTAAACGCACCGGATTTTGCATTGCCATTCCATTCGCCGGAAGCGCTTAACCCAGGTTACTGACAAATTAAAAGTCCTATTAGCATGCTTCGGCATATACCCCATGTAGATGTTGGACTGAAGCAGCTGATGTTCATTTACACTGAGGAAGGGCAGAGGGTTGCTGAAGAACTACTGAGAGATTTCAGCTACTGTCTGGGCTTTCACTGTCAAACTACACCTTCCTTTCTTCAGGTATTCAATACTTTTTCCCTGCGTCATTTCGGTTTATTACACATAACTTCATTTGTAAACTAACTAGTTTTGTTTTCTTTGCATATAGAAAGTCAACAGCCCCTTTAGAAATGTTTTCTGAAAAAAAAAATGCTAACATGTTCAACACTTATTTCCCCCACTGTAAATAGATGTGTTTACAAAATAAAAACTGATTCCTAAATTTGATTTGATTTTGCGTTCAAACATTTCACAACAAAAATAAATAAATAAAAATCCCAAAACCACATGAACACGGGTGTTTTAGCCCAGGCGTCGGGGTGCTAACCAGCTGCCCGTTCTAGCTCTGTAGCAGTACGATTCTAAACTATGAACAATAAGGTTGGCACAGACCAAGCAGTTGGTAATACAGCTTGGCACGCAGACACCGGACGAGAGAGACTGCAGCAAGGGTTTGACGTGATCGTGTGTTATGTTCGTCCACACCTTAGTCTTCGCCTTGGGGCTACCGCTGCCATCCTGCCCATCCTCAGCCGATTCGTCGGGCCGTCCTGCAGCCAGCCAGCGGGTCTTGTCCCGCTGCTGCCGCTGAAAACTGTGCTTTAACGGGGAGCGAGCACCCGAGTCACTGTCCTCTGCGTACGAGTATCCCGTGGCTGACGGGGGAATCTCAACATCACTGTACTTTTTAGTTTTATCACGCAGCGCCGGGCAACGATACGGATAGCCAGTCCTGTAGCCCTGCAGAGAGAAACAGGTTGATAAAAAAAACAAAAAAAACAACAACAACAACAAAAAAACACAATGCAAAATATGTGTGTAACACCCTCTATGAAGTCTGCATCTACAATGCTTTATGTGGGTATTCTGAATGCATTATAATGCATGCATGATTTATTTCTTGCAGCATTGCAACATTGGTAATAAATATTCAATACATAATGCATGCAAGGTAAACAACTTTCAAATATTTGTATCATTCTATAATTATTCATTACGCTCCATTATAATACTTGCACTGTAAAAAAACCTTAATAAAGTGTCAAGACAACAAATCCTTTTACCTTATTTTTAGTTAAACAGGTTTTAACTAATTGTTTAAATTAATATTTCATGTCAGCTTGATTATTAGAAGTTGAGATGACTAGAAAGTTAGATTCTACTAAAAAGTCAGCAATAATTTTGAGTGTACCTATAAAGTGGTTTTATCATTTAATTTAAGATGCATTATAACACCAGATGAAGTCTGTATTTGTACTGCATTTTAATATTATTTCAACCCTCTGGGGTCTGAGGTGATTTTGGGGCCCCTAAGATGTTTTGACATGCCCTGACATTAGTGCTCATTTCAGTTCCTTATTATATGGTATTAGCCAACATGTATTTTTTTTTTGTATTCAGCACAAACTGTGTTGCAATAATATGTGAGAAATATAGTTGCATATGCTTATGTTTTTTTAGAAAAACAAAAACATTACGTATGGTTAATAGAATGAAAATGAATTTCAACTAAGGTCCAAAAAAACCACACTAAATTGGCCTGAACAAGACTTTTGAGAAACCAGTCTTGTAGGCTAGAATATTTACTACACATTTACAGTTTAAGTCAGAATTATTAGCCCCCCTGTTTATTTTTTTTAATGATGGTTTGTTTTTTAGACTCAGAAAAAATATAGCTTAAAGGGGCTAATAATTTTAACCTTAATTGTTTTTTAAAAAATTATAAACCTCTTTTATTCTAGCTGAAATAAAACAAATAAGACTTTCTCCAGAAGGAAAAATATTATTAGACACACTGTGAAAATGTATTTGCTCTGTTAAACATAATTTGGGAAATATTTAAAAAGAAAAAAAAATTTAAAGGGGGGGGGGCTAATAATTCTGACTTCAACTGTATGTAAAGACTATTCTGTTCTCTCATTCAAAAGAAACATTACAATGATTTACATTTTGTAAAGTCTGTTTTGGGTCAGCATACTGTATGCACTGGAGTGACAATGGTCATGAATAATTCACACTTAGAGAGACAAAAGACACTCCCCCACTGGCTAATGTTCACCCATCAAGAGCATTGTAAAGCAATGTGCAGCTGTCTTTGCGTCAATGTGTTTTGTAAAAGCACTCACTTTTGCTATGAAAAAAGTAGACACCTAACAGACTGATGTATTGCTCTTGTCTGTACGATCAAAACTGAAAGTGTAATTTACGGGGTTGCCAGCCCTAGAAGGTAAATGCATTGTGTGCAATAAGTGGGGAAATATAACCAATGTGTAAAATTTATCTCATTTTTTAATGAGTATTTTCTGGCTTATATGTTTTGTGTATCTATATTTTCACATTTATGATCCACAAAAGCGTTCATTACTTTTTTTTTAGGAATTTTTATAGTGCTTCTTTGCATCTTTCTGTTGTTTAATGTTTTGAATGACAATTCACTTTCATTTCATTTTCATCTTATAATTAATAATATCCCATAGCTTAATATCTTTTATTTATCCAAGTCTCTTATCTTGTTGACATTGTTTGCCTCAAAGTCTGCACAGTGTTGTGCTATACCTTATGAGCAGGATTTTATTTTTGTTATTTCTGCACAAAATTCTTGGGAAAATGATTTGAGTAGAGGAGATAAATACTGGAATAAAAAAAGAACTATTTAACCTAAGGTTTACAATGCAAAGCCAATTAGAAATGATTGCTACAGCAGGTCTCATTTAATAAACAATCTTTATGCAAGCTAAAATACAAAATAAAGTCTTAAAAGTTGTAACAAACATTCAAGTAATAGAAAAATAATAAAAGATAACTGTTATTATAAATGTTTATCAGCTGTTATAATGGACTCTCTTTTCTCATTTGCGTGTTTCTCAGCAGCAGAATTCCTCATAGTTGATAAACTCAGAGTGCAGTGAATGGGAGAGTACAACAAATCCTCATTCTGCAATCATATTTGCTGAAATAGTAATAGAAAAACTCCATGATGTTGTGATCAAGACTTTCAGAAAGAGGAAAACAATAGTGCGAGACTGATTACAGCAGATAGAAGAGAGAATAATGTCAGATTGACTGTCCTGCCTTCATAGACGCTGCATTCCACACACCTCACACAAGTGGTCCTTCATTTTTTGTGATTTGATGCAAAGATGATATCATGAATTCATATTAATATTTATACCTTTAGCCATATTTTTCTTTAAAAATTTTAAGGATTTGCATTTGTGAAAAAGATTCATATAGTATAAGCTTGTTTACACATTTATTATAACTAAAGAAAAACAACAACAACACACAATGCAATATAAGCACAGGCTTCTTAGAAAGCATCAGCAGTGTTTGCTCACTGGCATACCAGATTATCCAGCATCCTCATCAGAGCCTCAAACTCCTGCTCCCCGATCTGCCACTTCGGGTGCGAGCTCGACCCGTCTCCTGCTGGCTCTAGGTGGCGAGGACGGGATTTATACTTGCTTGGGTCCAGCATAACCAGGTTATCAGGACCACCAGCACTGGCAAGAGTGCGGACCTGGAATTCAGACCAGAAAAAAACAAACATTAGAATTATCCCACTGAATTAACGAAGGCCTCTAAATGACCAAGATCTGTTGCACATACAGTTGAAGTTAGAATTATTAGCCCTCCTAAATAATTTTTTACCCCCAATTCCTGTTTAATGGAGAGCAGATTTCTTCAACACATTTCTAATCATAAAAGTTTTAATAACTTATTTCTCATAACTGATTTATTTTCTCTTTGCTATGATGACAGCACATAATATTTGACTAGATAATGTTCAAGATACTAATATTCAGCTTAAAGTGGAATTTAAAGGCGTAACTAGATTAATCAGGGTTAAGTTAGGGTAATTAGGCAAGTCATTGTATAACAGTGGTTTGTTCTGTAGACAATCCAAAACAGATTAAGGGGGCTAATAATATTGACCTTAAAATGATTAAAAAAATAAATAAAAACAGCTTTTATTCTAGCCAAAATAAAACAAATAAGACTTTCTCCAGAAGAAAAAATATTATAGGAAATACTGTGAAAAATTCCTGAATCTGTTCAACATCATTTGGGAAACATTTGAAAAAGAAAAACAAAACAAAAAAAAACAAAGGAGAGCAATTAATTTTGACTTCAAATGCATTGTACTACATGCCTTTCGATTTTTTAGGAGATATTTTAGGTCCTTTGAGACGTTATGCTTTTTAAGTGAATTGAACTGAATTAAGTGTCAAAAAGTGACTTTTTATGAACATTTTTAGTAGTGTTAAGTACTATACTGTCTGGGTTGGTGTTGTATAATACGCTAAATAACCTTGTAATAAACCACCAGTACATTTTCTGTTAATTCACACATTTATTTCTCCAGATATTTATTTATTATATAATATATAGTTTTTAAACTACTAAAACTTTAGCAATAATCACTTTGATGAAATGCACAGTTGGAATTGTATTAATAAAAGTAGATAAAGCAGAGAACAACATCACATAATACAATTCACAACTGTAAAATGACAGAAAAAAAAAGAAAATCATGAGATGTGGAATCTGTTAAGTAACATTTTTAGTGTATTAATTGGGCCATAAAAACACGAAGCACCACATAAACATGAGCCGGTGTCCGTTTCTGATGGTATGATAACCTTGAATAATAATATCATGGTTTCACATTATTGTAATTACTGCTCCAATATATGCTCTTTTTAAATGTCTGGGTACAAAACAACAACGTTTAACCATTAAACACAATATATTTTATGTGGAGAAACATTTATAATAGTTTGGAACAGTAAACATATCAGGCTAAATAATTAAAAAGAATCACTGACTTCTGCTGTTTCATTAGGTTCAAAAACACAGATTTATTTACAATTTAAAATGACATCTTTGGATATCTTTTCTGCTGGAGATACTGTTGTTTAAAAAAAAAAATCGTATATATACACCGTAGGAACGGTATAGCAGAAAACTTTTTTCGTTTTAAAACCTTGATTTTTCCAAACCGTGGTATACCTTGAAAATGGTCATCGTCCCATACCTAGCACCGCATTTCATACTCAAAAACACAAACGCATTAAGATCATCCAAAGATTTTTAGTTTTATTCAAGGCTTTATATGGCTAAATCAGTTTCACATTACCTGAATCTCGCAGGCTGTGACCAGGTTATGAATGTAGTAAAAAGCCTCTTCCACAGTTTCGCCAACAGACACCAGGCCGTGATTCCTTAAAATCAACACCTGAACACACAAACAAAAGATTTCAATTTACTTAAAAAAAAATAAAAATAAAACACAAACCCGAAGACAGAACTTCACACAGAAAGCAAAGCCCTTTAATCAGTGCTTATATTTGACCAATTCCAGAACTGCAGGTACATTTTAAAGCCTTTTCCATTCATTTTCTTTACAGGGTTGACATTTTGCATCATTTTGCGCTTTAGCTCCAGATGCTAACTTCAAATGTGACGCCATCTAAAACTCGATTTTACGCATTTTCATTATATTACTGTTTTAAAAAGTTGACATACAGTTAATCTACTAATGGTGAATCCTAAACATTTTGCACAAATAAATGACAAGAGAATAACAACGTCTCAATGACTTCCCGAGTTTCCCGCCAAAGGAATCGACATCACATGCTCTAACACTCAGCGCTTTACAGATTGCTCTGTCTCTTTATAACCAATGTAACAGAATTGAACAAAACACAGAAACAAGACAAAAAAACTTATATTTTTAAAACTGAAATTACAAATAATACAGAAAATAGATGTTTCATGCAATTTTGTATTTAACTCAGTAGAGTAAATGCACAAAGCATGATTATACATAATTATTTGATGATAAGCTGAATGTATAATACAGTCAAAAAGAGGTGTAGTGTGAGTCTTTACGTTAATATTTTCAGCACAAAATGTTTCTAAATACATAAACAGTCCCAATTTCTGTAATACTCGTTTCTCGTTTCCAGTCCAAATATGTAAAATCTCAACTCAAGAAGCCTTTTCTAGAGGAGCAAAGAATATTATCTTGTTTTCAGATGATGTTAAGAGTTTTTGCTTAAAACATGCTACAAGCATCCACCAACAAGGTACACTGCAAAAAAGGCTTTTCTTACTTAAATTTTTTTGTCTGGTTTTTAGTTCAAATATCTAAAAATTCCTAAATCAAGAAGAATTTTCTAGACAAGCAAAACACATTGTCTTGTTTTGAGAAATAATATGCTAATATTAAGTGAGTTTTTCCTTAAAACAAGCAAAATAATCTGCCAATGGGGTTAGCAAAATAATCTTACGTAAAAAAAAAAAAAAAACAAGATTATTTTGCTGACCCCATTGGCAGATTATTTTGCTTATTTTTTTATTTATTTATTTATTTTTTAGGGAAAACTCACTTAATATTGGCATATTATTTCTCAAAACAAGACAATATGTTTTGCTTGTCTAGAAAATGCTTCTTGATATAAGAAAAATTAGATATTTAGACTAAAAACAAGACGAAAAAAAGCTAAGCAAGAAAACCGTTTTTTGCAGTGTAAGCAAAAACAAGATTATTTTTCTTGTTTTAAGGAAAAACTCACTTCATTTTGACTTATTATTTCTGAAAACAAGTTAATATTCTTTGCTCATCCAGTGCAAATTCTTCTTGATTTAAGAATTTTTAGATATTTGGACTATTATCAAGACACAAACTGTAAATAAGAAAAGCATTTTTGCAGTGTGTGGTTCAAATGTCACAATAGCTTTATCTTTGGAGACGCCGAAAAAACCCATAATTCTAGAATCACTCATGTTTGGTACCTTGCTCTTGGGACCCAGGTTCTTCTGTATGAGCACGTTCTCCTCCTCGTCCACCAGTATACCATGGTAATCATGGTACGCCACCTCTCCCAGTGACAGAGCCTCAGGTGAAATAGGCAGCAGACCACACTTCATAGCAGACACCTGCAGATCAATGATTTTAATGATTACCATGGAGCTGTATAACAATTTATCACAACATATTACAGCAAAATAAGCAGATTTCACATTATTGCTCTCATTCCATCAACTTTAAGTAACTTTGTTGGCAACACTTTTAAATAATGGTCCATTAGTTAACATATTTTCTAACATGGACAAACAATTAGTTACACATTAATAATGTTATTCAATAATCGCATTAGTTGATGTTAAATGAGTTAAAAAACATTAGTTCAACTCACAGTGTATAAACCGTGTTAACAAGCACAACTTATGCATCAGTAAATGTTAAACTCATTCATTCATTTTCTTTTCAGCTTAGTCCCTTTATTAATCTTGGATCGCCACAGCGGTATGAACTGCCAACTTATCCAGCACAATTTTATGCAGCGGATGCCCTTCCAGCCGCAACCCATCTCTGGGAAACATCCACACACGCTCATTCACACTCATGCACTACGGACAATTTAGCCTACCCAATTCTCCTGTACCGCATGTTTTTGGACTGTGGGGGAAACCGGAGCACCCGGAGGAAACCCACGGGAACGCAGGGAGAACATGCAAACTCCACACAGAAACGCCAACTGAGCCGAGGCTCGAACCAGCAACCTTCTTGCTGTGAGGCGACAGCACTACCTACTGCACCACTGTGTCGCCTTAAACGTTAAAGTATGATTAATAAATTCTTTACAACAGGAGTGTCAAACTCAATTCCTGGAGGGCCACAGCTCTGCAGAGTTTAGTTCCAGCCCAGCTTCAACACACCTATCTGTAGGTATCAAACAAGACTAAAGCACTCAATTAGGGTTGGAACTAAACTGCGCAGCGCTGTGGCCCTGCAGGAACTGAGTTTGACACCCGTGTTTTACAAGAATATTGATACTAATACATTAACTGTTGGACCACTATTCTAAAGCACAGGTGTCAAACTCAGGTCCTGGAGGGCTAAAGAACTGCGCAGTTTAGCTTTAACCCTAATTAAACACACATGATCAAACTAATTGAGTCCTTCAGGCTTGTTTGAAACCTACTAGTAAGTGTATTAAAGTAGGGTTGGAACTAAACTCTGCATGGCTGCGGCCCTCCAGGGTTTGACACCCCTGTTCTAAAGTGTTACCACATGGTTTTATTGCAAGATTTTATATTTCATGATTTAATTTGGTCTTCTATCACATTGAGGTGCATTTCAAGTCTCATTTTATTTAAGTAAACCTGAATAAATAAATCCATAAACAAATATATTTGCACTTTGGAATTTATTTATTTAAAGTTTTATTTATTCATTTAATATTTTAATCAATTGTTTTTTAATAGTTAAGTAATAAATTTCTTGAATAAACATTTTTCAAAATTTAAGTTTTTTTTTATTCATTTTATTCATGAATTTAAAATGTACGCAAGCTTAAGGTGGAAGTGAATGAGTCAGTCATGATTACATTATTTTGTAAAGTTATTTAAACTTTAATGAAACTTTAATGAATTTAAACAAACTCGATTAATGAAACCATTTAGCAGAAAATGGCGTGTTTTACAACAGATTTTTAAGCTAGAGCGCAACCATCTTGAAATATGGCTGTCTGACGCCACGGGGTTGGTTCCGTTCCCTTAGCTGAACAAATACAGTGGAAGTAAAGGACTGAACACGGAGACTGGAAAGCCTAATTTAACCCAATGAATGAAGTTGCGGGTTTGCAAACACAAGCATCAGATGTATGTATAATATAATATAATATAATATAATATAATATAATATAATATAATATAATATAATATAATATAATATAATTTTTTCCCTTTTAAATTCCCGATTGCTTCAATTCAACTCCATTGCAGTTGTTTCATACAGATAAAGCAGCTGAATAAACTGTTTAATTGTAAGAGTGTGAAGTCATCAACCAGCTCATACCGCAGCGCCAGCGGGTGTGTGAATATGCACAATGCATTTGACATCAGGCCGGGCAGCGTAGATGGCGGAGTGGAGGGTGAATCCAGCCTGATTTACACCCAGATTAGTGCTGCCTCTGTCCACAATCTCCCCCTGCAGATTAATCTTCACCTGCGCACACAAACAGCAATGCTTACACACACAAACACACCGTCCAACAGTAAACACTGAATGGAAACTTTAAAGCTGAAAACCTCCAAAAATGTTCAAAAGACTTTTTTTGAAGTTAAACATTAGTTGATTTAGATTTCTAAAAACTAAATAGATTAATAAATAAATAAGTAAATAAAAACAAGTTAGTAAAAAAGCAATTGTTTGAAGAAATTAAACACAAAAAAAACCTTCTAGGAATGACAACTATTTTAAATGTTTTTTTAATTTTAACTCTTTTTATTATAATAAAAATTACCTAATGCATGAATGCATAGAAAAGAGTTTGTTGCAACTAGAAATATAATAAATAATAAAAATTAACTGAAATCCATTTAAAAATGCATTGAATATGTTATTACTTTAGGTATTAAATTAAGTAAAATGAAAAAAATCTACAGGTTTTTTATGTATAAAAATAATAAAGGTCTGAATAAAATGACAAATATTTAAAGGTAAAACGAAAATGTAAAATTTACACAAAGTACTGAAATATCACATTCATAAATACTACAAATAACAAATTAATCTCCCAAATAAACCATTTTAATTTATGCTCATTTAATGCAAAGTATTGATAAATACTGTAGACACACATTAAAGATGTCCAGCTCTTTACTTTTTGACTATTATTATTTTCTACATGAATAATTTTCCTACAGAATTAAAATTGTATTAAAATTACAATAAACAAAAAACAATTAAAATAAATTAAATAATAATAATAATATTAATACATCTAAAAATAAAATAATAATGAAAAAATAAAATCAGTCATCACTGAAAACAAGGCATGGTTACCAGACTCGAGGCAGTGACTTCACTGTACAGGAGCCCAAAAGGGACAATCAGAAAACGCTCCTGTTCAGAGTTCAGCCGGACCTGAGATTACAGAAAAACAGGTTTAGCTGAAATCTCTACATACTGTATAACATGTCCTGCTAAATAGTGCATATGTGATGTTCATACACACTCACAGTCAGGTGGTTGTAGATGAGCTGAGACCAGCCGAAAAGATCCGCCAGACGGTAAAAAGCAGCGAGTTTACAGCGCAGGAGCTTCTCCCCTTTCTCATAAGCGATGGAGTCTGAACCTCTCAGATCATTCACTGGAGTCACCATCCCCAAACCTACACATACACACACAGACACAAACACACACACACGTCTGTGAGACAATTCTACATAAAATACACTTGCAATGCCCTCCAAAAAACTAAAGCTCTCGTTTAATTTCACAAAACAAATGCTCTGGTGGTTATTATTAGTAGTAGTATTAGTATCATTACCAATAATATCAATAAAAAATGCTATCATTGTTTACTATTTTATGCATAGCCTTTCAAAAAAACAAAGCTCTTGTTTAATTTCACTGAAGCTCATGTAGTTATCTTTATTATTATTATTATTATTATTATTATTATTATTGTTTAAAATAAAATCATTGCTTAACATTTTATTAAATCAATTTTCTTTTATAATCATCTGAAAAACCTTTAACGTTCAAAAACAAAACAGTAAGATTACTTCTTATTCTACTGTAATAAAGAAATTGTTAAATCAAGTCTCATGTAAATTCTGTTTTGTCCTTAATACTACAAGTTATGTCTTCTCGATGATACAAATTAGTGTACAAGTACACTAAAGCAGAGAATGTTGTTTGCTGGTCTTACAGCTGCAAAAAAGACAATCTTACAAAATTGGTTTACTCCACACATGTGTGCAAAAAAATTTGGATTCATAGCCTCCTTAAAATAGTGACTTTGTGAAGCTACAAAAGCACAAATTAATAAGGCTAGACCTATTTTATACTATCTAAAGGAATGACCATGTAAAGGTTTTTTTTTTCTTTTTTCTCGAATGTAAATCTTTCAGATTGAAAATTGTTGATACGTCTGTTGCTCCCCCTTCCATGTTCGGTTGTTTAAATGTCTTTTTGTTTTGTTGATCTAGTCAATAAAACGTTGATCACCAAAAAAAATCAAGAAATTGTTAAATCAAGAAAATAATAATATATAATACATGCTTTCAGTTATTTGCCAAGGCAAAATTTTTAACGTTCAGAATTTTGCATTTTCTATTTTTTTTAGTTTAAATAAAGCGTTAAAACAAAAACAAAAATTTAAGAAAAAAATATATATTTATATAAACAATTATTACAATGGCAAACACAACAAAACTATTGACTGAAATCTGATTAAAAATAATAATGGATGAAATTTTTAAATTTTTAAATAACTAATAACTTAACGTCATACATATGATGCAAGCATTTTCTGAAAGAAAAACACAACAAAATGACTGATAAATGACAAAATTGGACTGATGCAGTTTTAGTGGGGTTTATGCACACAGACTTTTAATTTCAGCCAGTCAGCCTCAGCACTGTTGGTGAACCGTCTTTCCATTATAAAAGTGCCACTTTTAAGGTCTGATTTCTTCAAAAATAATTGATCTTCAAAGCCTGATAGATATACGATATAAAGTGGGCCTCAAACCGGATATGAATCATTGCATTGAATTACATTTCCCCAAGCTACATCTTTAAAATATGAGTTTATTTTCCCCCAGTATTTTTAATGGAGTTTCTGCGCTCGTCTACTGATCCTGACAGCGCTAGTGGTTACATGGTCTTTCATCTCATTTTATGCTGGAACAACTTAATGGATGCTTTAATTTATTTAACTGAATGTATTTAATTACATTATAACATCAATGCTGAATAAGGAAGCTTATAAAATTGGAAATGGCCACATTGAGCTTTCGCCGGAGGTTTATCATTGGCTGAAGAACACTAGCTGTGCATGTAGTTACAAGAACTTTGTTTCTTTTAAGCTGCTTTGACACAATCTAGACTGTAAACATGCTATAGAAACAAAGAAGAGTTGAATTAAAGAAACAGACTCACTCATGTTGAGGGCCGCCATTCCTCCCTGTGGGGCCGCGGGGTACATGGTGGGAACGCTGGTGGTCATGAAGTCGGCGATCTGCTGCAGGGCAAGCAAACTGGTGGGAGTTTTGCCTTTCTTCATCTGATCCTGGATCAGAGACTCCAGCTCATCACAGAAAGCCTGCAAACGCACAAAAACACATGATATGCATACAGTTGAAGTCATAATTATTCGCTCTTCTGTGAATTTATTTTATTTTTCTAATATTTAATATTTCTCAAATGATGTTCAACAGAGTAAAGAATGTTTCACAGTATTTCCTTTAACACTTTTAAACTTCAGCATTGTTGTTCTGATAAACAAGATTGTTTGCTGAGCATGTTTCTTAAATATCTGCAAACACATTATGGTATTTTAATGCTTTAGAAGAGTCAAACACTTGCATACAGCACCTTTAAATTAATATAATTGATAACTCGATGTAAAACAAATATGCTTGAGAAAAGCATGTATACAGCAGCACTGGAGAGAGGGAAAGATCATGACACAGCATGTGCTGTCAAGAGCTCTGAATAATGGATTAGTTTGATAACAAGAGCATCAAACACTTTCTCTAGAGCAGAGTATGGAGTATGAAGACAACCATCACAACAGTTACTTTCTCATCATCAAACATTAAATACAACAGAAAGCATCAGATCTCAATGCTCAGCATATATGAGAACACCTCTCCACCACAGATCTTGCTTTTAAACTAGTATTTTCTACAGGATGCTTATAATAATTTATGTGTGAATACACAATAGATTGAGTCAGTACCAACAATTAATCTAAAACAAACTAAATCACATAAAGATCACAGAACAAAAATTTGTATACACCTAAAATGATGGCTGAGAAATAATAAGTAATTTTAATAAACAGGAAAAATCAAGAGAAACAAACTAAATTTAGTAGTTTATCATTTTATTTGCAATAATTAGTTTGAACTGAAATTAGGGATGTTCATTATAATTGAATAACTGAAAGGGTGCGTTTTTAACCGATTAATGGTATCAGTTAAACGAAAAAAAAAATATATATACACACACACACACACACACACATATATACACACACACATATTTTATACTATTATATACGCACGCACGCACGCACATACACACACAGGTTTTTTTTTTTTTATTTAGATTGGATTAATCTTTTAATCTAGATTAAAATGGCTCATTTGAATTCTGCCGAAGGCATTGAGAATATGTGTGCTACCCAAATAATCAAAAAGTCTTTGAGAACGGGTTTCTCAAGCCATGTGGCGCAGTAGACCAGGGGCTCATCTCCTGTTTCCAAAATGCATCACAAACTGCTGGAGAAACTGTTCTACTGTGATAATTGGTGATGAAAATAAATGATGTTCAATAAGATGTGCTTTAGTGTTTACTAACTGTTTATTCAGTTAAAGTTGAATGTTGAACTGTAGGCCTACATAACCTCCAAACAGCCATTATTGATTATCTTAATCTGACTAAAGTCATAACGGAACTAAACAGAAATGGAATTTAGATGTGTGGAGTCTGCAGATATTAGTCGCATTATTGAAGACATATTTTTAGACAATATCCACACGCGGCTGTCAGTAAAGGACCACACACACACACTTACACACACACGAAACGCGTAATTTTTTTTTAAAGTCAGAATTATTAGCCCCCCTTTGAATTTTTTTTCTTTTTTTAAATATTTCCCAATGATGTTTAACAGAGCAAGGAAATTTTCACAGTATGTCTGATAATATTTTTTCTTCTGGAGAAAGTCTTATTTGTTTTGTTTCAGCTAAAATAAAAGCAGTTTTTTATATATATTTTTTTAAACCTACTTTAAAGTCAAAATTATTTGCTATATAATTTTTTCAATAGTCTCCAGAACAAACCATCGTTATTCAATGACTTGCCTAATTATCCTAACCTGCCTAGTTAACCACTCCTAGTTAACTAATGGCACTTTAAGCTGTATAGAAGTGTATTTAGAAAAATTTCTAGTAAAATATTATGTGCTGTCATTATGGCAAAGATGAAAGAAATCAGTTATTAGATACTAGTTATTAATACTGTTTAGTGATTTCTTTTTGAACTTAAATAAAGATATTTTAAGGAAAGCTGAAAACCTACAATCACTGACTTCTATAATAAAAACAAATATTATTGAAGTCAATGGTTACAGGTCATCCTCAAAATATATTTTTTGTGTTCAACAAGAAAGAAACGCACAAACATTTAAAACAAGGGAGGGTATATAATGATCATTTATTTTAAATCATTTTATATATTATTAAAGCAGGACATTTACCAAATGTCTTCATGGAACATGATCTTCTAATATTCTAATGATTTTTGGCATTAAAAAAATAATATTTTTTAGACTCAAACAGTATATTTTTGGCAATTCCTAAAAACATAGCTGAGCAACTTTTGTTTCTGGTTTTCACATTTGTCAATTTTATGTGGTATTTGGACCAAAAAGTATGAAAATCAATGGAAAATTGCAGTGAATGAACATCAGCTGCCTTTTCCACATCTTCCTCAAGTCCTGGCCGTATAAATACCCTCTTTATTCTTAAGGGATTTTCTGCTTGCATACACAGGATCTCCTCTGTATTCATGCACACATGCAGAAAGACATATGATAGCTGGATATAATGAGACATCCGTCACGAGGGGTTTACTGAGAGCCGAACTAATGTCTGAATAACACCAGCACATTAAGAATTCATATGTAAAAACAGATTTTTTTTCCAATGTCGCCTCACAACAAGAAGGTCACTGGTTCGAGTCCCGGTTGGGTCAGTAGGCATTTCTGCCTGTAGTTTGCATGCCCTACCTGTGTTGGTGTGGGTTTGCCTCCGGGTGCTCCGGTTTCCCCCACAGTCCAAACACATGCGCTATAGGGGAATTGATGAACTAAATTAACCGTAGTGTACGAGTGTTCAATTCAATTCATGCTTATTTATATGGCACTTTTCACAATGTAGATTGTGTCAAAGCAGCCTAACATAGTTCTAGTAAACTCCAGATTTCAGAGTTGAGGTTTAGTTTAGTTCAGTGTGGTTTAAATTTCACTGCTAAAGGTTCAAACAAAGTAGAGCGAATCCACCGAAGCGCAGCTGCACAAGTCCCGATCCAAGCAAGCGTGGTGACAGTGGCGAGGAAAAAAAAAAACATCATCGATTGACGAAGTGAAGAGAGACCTCGAGAAAAACCTCGAGAGAGACTAGGCTGTGAAGTGTGTGTGAATGTGAGAGTGTATGGGTGTTTCCCAGTACTGGGTTGCAGCTAAAAGAGCATCCGCTGAGTAAAACATATGCTGGAATAGTTGGCGGTTCTTTCCGCTGTAGCGATCCGTGATAAATAAGGGACCAAGCAAAGGGAAAATGAATGAAAGTTTTAGGTTTTGTATGGAGCAGTACAATTGCACAAAAACTTGATATATGAAAATTATTAAAACTGCAGATTTTTTTTACTCATTTTAAGAAATTATGTTTTTAAAATTGTGTATTGAAGAGTAAAAATGGAAGAAATATTTCTGAAAATATTAAAACTTTGGTTTTCTGCATTTCCAAATGAACTTCGAGATTTATAATCCAAAGACTGTTTAAGTCTTTAAGAATTAAGACTGTAAAAATTATTGCGCTGCTCTTTTTCTTAATTTGACTGGGTTGATCACACATTTTTATTTAAATCTTTAACACAGATTGGCATGTCAAACCAACCTACCACTTGCTAATAATCCAACAGAACATGTGCCCATATGGCCAGTTTAATTTCTTTATCTTTAGAGTTGAACAAATGAGTGCCTCAGGGATCGGTTCTAGGACATATATTATTTTGTATTTAATAACTTGATTAATATTTCCCAGAGATGGGTTGTAGTTGGAAGGGCATCCACTGTGCAAAATATATGCTAGATAAGTTGGTGGTTCATTCTGCTGTGGCGACCCCAGATTAAAAAAGGGGCTAAGCTGAAAAAAAATAAAATAAATCAATGAATGAACTTGATTAATAACGTGTGCGACAACCTTTCAAATAAAAATCACATGATGGGTTTTGCTTCTTAAAAAGCACAAAACATTAAGTTGTTACTGTGGTCAAAAGTGTTTTACAAATATTTATTTGAGAATTTTAGAGAGATTTTTGGGGATATTTTCAAATATATCAGAAGGGTGTTGACTGATTAATTAGAAAGGAGATCATAAATGTATATTAAATGTAAAATACAGCAATTTTGTTCCTTAGTAATATGGAAATTCATGTTTGACAGGTCAAATTAAAATGCAATACACATATAGATTTAAATTCTAAGTTATTCGACCTCCTGTGAATTTTTTTGTCTTTGTCAAATAATTCCCAAATTATGTTTATCAGAGCAAGGAATTTTCCACAGTATTTCTTATAATATTTTTTCTTCAGGAGAAAGTCTTATGTTTTATTTTAGCTAAAATAAAAGCAGTTTTAAACCTTTTTTTAAGCCATTTTAAGGTCAATATTATTAGCCCCCTTAAGCAATATTAGTTTTGAATGGTCTCTGAACAAACCACTGTTATACAATGACTTGCCTAATTACCCTAACTTTACCCTAATTAACCTAGTTAAGCCTTTAAAGCACTTTAAGCTGAATACAAGTGTCTTGAAGAATATCTAGTCTAATATTATTTACTGTCATCATGGCAAAGAGAAAAAAAAATCAGTTATTAGAGATGAGTTATTAAAGCTATTATGATTAGAAATGTGTTGAAGAAATCTGCTCTTCGTTAAACGGAAATTAGGGAAAAATATACAGTGGGGTAATAATTCAGCAGGGCTAATAACTCTAACTTCAACAGTATATTGATTAGTGGAAATGTATGCGTTTAGTGTTGTTCTCACGGGACTCTGCAGGATCATGGAGACTCTCTTGCGCTGCTCCATCATGTTGAAGTCCTGCCGCAGGTCTGGAGCCATGTTTCTCTCCCTCTGGTACTCCGGGCTGCTCTCATCTACTCGGTCGAAATATCGCTCTTTGTGAGGAGGGTTTGTGGGCGGGGGGGCCGTCACCACCCCTGCACCTGAGTCTCCGTTCATCACACACCTGCAAAACAAAAACATTCACACTTCAGTCACCGAGGTCCTGTGAAATCAGTTTTATTTTTTCACAAATTACAATTTTTTTTAATGTTAATTTGAGCAGCATTGTGTGAATGAGTGTGTATGGGTGTTTCCCAGTACTGGGTTGCAGTTGGAAGGACATCCACTGTGTAAAACATATGCTGGAATAGTTGGCGGTTCATTCCTCTGTGGTGAGCCCTGATAAATAAGGGACTAAGCCGAAGGAAAATGAATGAATAAACTAATTTTTGATCCATTTTTCTAAATTTTTCCAAATTTCTATTTTATGTCTACAAACTTTTCTGGACTATTTTTTATCAATGTTTTTTCTGGAAATGTTTTTTCTTCCTATTTTTTATTTATTATAATTTTTATTTATCATTATACTTAGGGTATTTATCATACCCTAAATTCTGCATACACTAAAAAGTAACTATTAAAAACAAGCTGAATTGCTTTAAATAAAATTTTATTATGAAGTGAAATACAATCTGGAGATGAAATCCACTGAAAGCTACTAACATATGTTTAAATGGCATATGAGTGCTTGTAACAGGATGTTTACTGTTGAGTGCACTGGATATAATGAGCTTTCTCTGTCCATTAAGCAGAGTCGAGACATGCATGATGTGCATGAGACAGAGAGGAAAGGATTTTGGGCTGATTTAGCTCCACTGTGTCATTATGGGCAAAACAGATGCTGTTGCCACAGTAACACGACCATCATTCCATCATTAATGCAACAGGTGATGCTGTTTAATAAAACAGAAAACAGAATTAATTGACATGAAGTCAGAAGTCCAAATAATGTACTGTACAGAAAATTACATTAAACAAATTACACTCCCAGCTTCAGGTTTGTGGATATTTTTATTTACTGCATATGCAATATTAATAAGCAAAAAATAATAATTGCCACAATAATCATAAAATAATAATGAAAATTTTACAAAGTACATCAAAACTGTAATTGTTTCTTATAATTACAGGATTAAATTTAAATATGAAACAACAAGAAATAGCCCAGGTTTGCTTTGCTTGTTTCTAGTGCACAACATTAGCAAAAAAATGTGCAATTACTAACAACAACAACAATAATATTAATAGCAATAAATAATAATAATAATAATAATAATAATAATAGCCATAATAATAGTAATAACAATAGCTATAATAATAGCAATTAAGAAGAAGAAGAAGAAGAAGAAGAAGAAGAAATAATAATAGCAATAAATAATAATAAAATAATAATAATAGGAATAATGATAGCAATAATAATAATAATAATAACAACAACAACAACAACAACAGCAACAACAATAATAATAATAATAATAATAGCAATAATAAAAATAATAATAGCAATAATAATAATAATAATAATAATAATAACAACAACAATAATAAGAATAGCAATAATAATAATAATATTAATAATAATAATAATAATAAAAATAACAATGATAGCAATAATAAGAGCAATAATACTAATAATAATAGCAATAATAATAATAATAATAATAATAATAATAATAATAACAATAATAGTAGCAATAAATAATTAGCAATAACAATAATACCAATAGTAATAATAATAAAAGCAATAACAATAATAATAGTAATGATGACAGCAATAATAATAATAACAACAAAAACAATCATAATAATAATAATAGGAATAAATAATAATAGCAATAATAATAATAATAATAATAATAATAATAGGAATAAACAATAATAGCAATAATAGTAGCAATATTAATAATAATAATAATAGAAATAATAATAAAAACAGCAATATTAATAACAACAATATTAATAGCTATAATAATAGTAATAATAATAATAATAATAATAGCAATAATAATAACAATAATAACAGCAATAACAACAATAATAATAGCAAATAATAATAATAATAATAATAATAATAATAACAGCAATAATTATATTAATTTAACAACTATAAAATTAATTAAATATACAATGGAATTTATCTTATACAATAGTTTTGAATTTTTTACCATCATCAAGATTTTTAAAAAATAAATGATCTTTATTCCACTCAAATATTAAACAACAAGAAATATTTTTATTGTAATACAATCACTTTTAAAAAAAGGATGGTTTGTGAATATAAATCAAAGATTTAAAACGGTAAATGACAACATGGTAGATCATAATATTAAACAGTCTTATCATTTACTGGTGATATAATCATTCATTTGCTCAAAACAAGGGGATCTGCAGGAGAATCAATGACACAGCAAACAGAGGCAGTCAGTCTGACTCAGCATTATTGATCATCTAATGTTGTTTTAAGTGTCCAAGGGGTTTGTAGCAGACATTTAAAAGCCAAATAAACATGAAGCTGCTGCTGCTACAGTACATTTCAATCCTCCCCCTCAAACTGACGCTCAAAATACAACATGAGGCATCCGATGCAGCGCAGCATTACAACATGAAGCTAACAGTGATTGTGAAGCAGGAAATAACTGAAGCATTGAGTAATGAAACCCTAAAGCAGCTGCCCTGTTCTACATCCACACACACACACACACACACACACCAGAGAGTACGAAAATCTCTTCCACAACTCAATTACTTGAGTTTAAAGAGCCATTTACACAGAATACATCTTTGCAATCTTGAGACACAGTGAACAGGAATGTAAAAAAGCCTTCTTAAAAAGCACCTATGATGCAAAATCAACATTTGTAAGGTGTTTGGACAGAACTGCGTGTAGGTATAGTGTCATATTTGAATGATATAAACACAATACGTCTTTTTAAAAGCGTCCTGACGTTAAATTCAAATTCTAGGCCTGCCGCAACATGGCGTATCTGTACAGTTTTCCCCTGCCCACCAATATTGATTGACGTGCAGTTTACAATGTCTCAGTGTTAACATGTAAACATACCCACTGAGGCTGGGAAATAACTTTATTTCACGGTATGAGATGGGGTTGGGCGATGTTGACCAATTTGGCAATCGTACGATGTCTAATGTGAAACATCGCAATGGACGATGCCATCTTCGTCATAGGTGGGGGTGGTTAAATATTGTAGCCTACCGTTTTTAAATCCGGAACCACATGGGAATTGCTTTACCCATAACCAAACCATAAATAAATAAAGTTACAAACAAATGACCACCTGTCAATGACTTTTTCCCGCAGGACTCTGGCATGAATAAGCAGTGATCTGTGTGATTCTAATGGCTTTTCCCACAGCTGGTGGAGGAGACGAGAGTTCAGTTGGAGTTCACTGTAGTCAGTGGCGCAAAAAGGGGGTATGCAGTATATGCTGCGCATAGGGGCGCCACACATGGGGGGCGCCATTGTGCCAAAACTATTTTTGAAATTATCCATATTAAAAGTTTCAAATAATATATATATATATATATATATATATATATATATATATATATATATATATATATATATATATATATATATATATATATATATGTTAAAAATGTTTAATTAGCATTTTATACGCGTATAATATTGTATTTTATTAAATTAAAAAAATCCTTTAACACCCCACCCCCCACCCCCATTTTTTATACCATATACATGTTTTTATGAATTTATTATGTATCATATTGATTCATCAGGCCTTTTGGTAACTACTTAGCTCAAAAATATTCTAATTTTAGCTACAAATAAAGTTATAACATGTTTTTATAACATTAAAGTCTTTTTTATTTAACTTTTAGTAGTTTCAGTCAATTGTTCTAGCAAAGACAGACCTTACACTTCTCACAGTCTGCATGTGAGAAGTAATAGCAATGTTCTTTTGCCCTTTAGGACTCCCATGTCTATCATTTTGTTTTGACAAATGTAGTACAAAAAGTCCAAAAGCAAGGTTAGTCAAGGTGATATAATCATTTAGTGAGGGAAAATTAAATTGAGAAGAAATTTGGGGTGGTATGAGAGACATTTTATCACTTGCCTGTTATAAAATATAGTTGGATTGAAGGGGGGTGCGCAAAAGTTAAAGCCGCATACCCATCAGCAAATGTGCAGTTGCGCCCCTGACTGTAGTGCATACATTTTCATTGTTTTCACTGCAGAATCCTCACCGTGTGCGCAAATTTAGGAGACATTTATGCAGAGTGCTTCTTTGCACCTAAAAACGCCAAACACAGCGCTCAGGAACAGATTAAACAGTTGTTACATGAACTTGCTAAAGTAAAAAAAAAGGCTGCAATGCTTGCCCCGCCTTTGAGCTCTTCTTATTGGCTCACTGCTCTAGAACTGAACGTGAATGATTGGTTAACATCAGCTGTCAATCACTCAGTCAATGCCTTCCTGCCTACAGATGACAGGAGCTACAACCGCGGAAATGTGAAGCGCTGAAGATGAGAGAATGAAAATAACACTGACAGATTTACCTACAGTTACTAATAATGGCACATCTCATTAGTGATCATGTGCTGAATGTTAATCCACCATTTACACTTTTCCAAGAGTGGATAAAAGACTTCCAGTGTTTCAAGTCCACTATGAAAATGACTAAAGCCATTCACTGTTAAGTCTGTGGGACGGGGTTTGCAGGTTACAGTGTTTACCACTAAATCTACACAGTTTAAGCGTGAGAGGTGCTGTATAGTCCTTCATTTAATCCTCACGATGCTGTCAGCCGTGCTAGCGGCAGCTATATGTAACATTTAACACAGCTCATGAAAAGACTGGTATAGCTATTAAGATGACAAGCAAATAATAAGTTATATACCAATATAAATGTGGAGCGGGGCGATAGATTGTGATGCCGGCTCAGCATCGTGAAGTTTGTCGGCCATCGGCGATGGACTACTAATATTAGAAAGCTAATTTCAAAATAACCAGTAAAAAAATGATGACTGCTAAATTTTTGCAAACAATTTATATGTGTTGAATTTAAACAAACAAATTAAATTGAGTAATGTTCAACTTTGTTTGTTTAAATTAAGCTCAATTAAATTGTTTACAACCACTTT